GGCTCGAGGGCTCACCCCCCCAGGGGGGCAATGACCCTTGTTGGCACTTGGCCAGGAGACTGTTCCAGAAGCTTCAGTGACCGCAGAGCCCGTGCGGGGCACCTGGGGGCTGAGGGTGGCCTGTCTTGGTGGGCCCTGCGGTGACGGCCTTTGGTGACCAAGGGCACCTTGTACTTCAGGTGCTTTCAGGACAGAAATGCCTTTTCACCCCCAAGGCTTAGTGGGGAGGGGCAGGTATTCTGTGCCTCGTGGGGCCTTGCGGCTGCCACAGCTCCGGCACCTGGCACATGAGCTGCCAGCCCCACCCTCCCAGGCCCCCTCAGCCGCGGTCGCACCCCAGGAGCCTGGGAAGGCTTCCGGAAACCCCAGGGTGCCCTTTTCTTGTGACCTTGAACCCGCCTCCTCCCCAAAGTTCACACCCATCTCCGTCCTGACCGAGGACCGCAGAGCTGGACCTGCTCCTGCGTGCCCTGCGTCGCTGCCCCACCTCCCGTTTACTTTCCTGTTTTAAGCACGTGTGCCATAGAGACGTGAGTCTCCTGCTGCGTCTTTCAGGAGCAGGAGGAGCTGTTCTTCCGGGCCCTCTGTCTCTGCCACACCGTCCAGGTGAAGGAGGACGACGAGGTGGACGGGCCCAGGAAGTCGCCGGACGCAGGGAGACGCAGCGCGTACATCTCTTCCTCTCCTGACGAGGTGGCCCTGGTCGAAGGCGTCCAGAGGTGCGTCCCTGCAGGACTCTGGTCCCAGGCCCCTCCCGCCGGCCGTGGGCTCCCTTGGAAGCGCCCTGGGTCGGCCCTGCGCCTGCAGCTTCTGCTGAGGGACGGCCGAGCTGGCGCTGCCCTGTGCTCAGGGCCCCGGGCCCTGCGTTGGCAGCGGTGGGCCCCTCCTGCCATCTTGTCTGGGTGGCTTTCCCCCTAAATCTCTGATCAGAGGCCATTCCGGATAGTCATGGGCTTTTAAAGATGCACAGTCTTCGAGTCCCTTCATGACGAGTCTTTCTCATCCGTCCCAGGGAACTGACGTCCAGAGACGTCGTGCAGCGTCCCCAGAGTCACACAGCACAGAAAGGCTCAGGCTAGGTGCTGGGGTTTTCCCACTGCCGCGTCCCTCGTACCCTCACGTTAACTCCACCTGCTGTCGGCCTCCTCTGAGATATTTTTCCTGGGAGTTCTTGCAGACATGGGATTTTAAGCAAACATGTGGAAAGGTGCTTTCTTGCAGATCTGTGGCATACTTTCAAGTCGGGAGAACAGCTTCCGCCCCTGACTTAAGGCTGAAGGCGCAGGATTTACTGTCCAGCACGGGGAGCTAACTGCGCCCCATAGCTCGTAGTGGCCCGTGGTGGGGTCTCATCTGCAGAGACCCACATCCCGACGCTGCACACCTGGAAGTAGCGCAGTGTCGCGGCCAGCTGTGTGTCAGTGAGCGGCGCTGAGGTGCTCCGTCAGAGGGTGTCAGGCACCTCGCACCTGCCTGGAGCCATGTTTCTGTTGTGAGCCAAGCCGCGTGTTCCTCCCGGGCAGTCTGGACAGTGGTGTCCGGTGTGTGAGTTGTGTCCCTGCAGACCTTCATCAGAGGCACAAGTTCACACGTACAGAGGTGGGATTTCTTAAAGCAAGGTGTATCTCTTCCGGGAAGCGAGGGCTCAGAAATCAAGGCGCGCTGGGTCGTGGCACTCGCCCTCCAGGAAGCCTTTCCTTCCGCCGCCAGCCCCCGGGCCGGGCGGACCCCGCCCCCGTTGTGTAAGCTCCTCGGGTCCAGAAGCCTGCCTCCGGTCCTCCGCCCGGCTTGTGCGCCCGTGTGAGAGCGC